GAGACATGTCAGGATACAGCTGTGAATTCTCTTTGACTGTTCCCCTGCCTCTGAGTTATGAGCTGGAGAGCATGGGATCCTGGACCGACCGATCATCATTGCCACCTTTAATCACTACTACCCTGAGAATGTAAGAAGTGTTTTTTTTTCTTTATATGCTTGTGTGAAATTTTGTGCATGTATCCTTCCCTTCAAATAAAACTCTTGGTGATGAACCATAACCTCATTTGTTCTATTCGCATCATAAGCCTAGCAGCTGACTAAAAGCTGCACAGACCAGGTAAAAAGCGACAGGGAAGTTATGTAGGAACCTCTAGGCTAAAAGTCTGGTACCAAATTTAAAAATTCCTAAAATTAAATTCTTAGAGGGGGCTTTTTAGCTCCTGGGACTCTCCACCAGTGCCCACACTAGCTGACCACTGATGATGGGCCTGAGTTAGCGGGAGAAAAACAAATAAGACTGGGTATTAGTAAAGCAGAAAAAGGCTAGAGTATTGAAAATTCAGAAAGGCTACATGTTCCAGAGGACATTAAATACTGCTGAGAGTTTGAACAGTATGCTATTTATTACTTATAGTATATCAAAGGAGTGGCCGAACCATGACTGGAACACTTCAGTAATCCAAGCTGTTCAACCAGGCATCACATTCAAAGAAGAGGCAAGTCAGATCAAGCAAGAGATATGATCTTATGCCTTCCATCTACACAAGAGGACTAAGGAAACCCTGAAGGGAAAATAGATGATGAAACAACAGCTTGAGCAACTGAACAAGCCAAAGAAATAGCTTCCTAGGGTTCCTGGGCTAGTTTGGAAGAGGAAAAGAATGTGAATAATGATATAGCTAGTAATGGTGCAAGGAAGAAGAGGATGCATTGGTGACTATGGTTTTGTATGCAGAAAAATCTTAGATTTAGACACTTCAGTGGATCCTGGATATTGTGTTATTTGTATTCAACTTCCATCCAGGTTGCGTAGTACAAAATCCATTAAGAGCCAATTGTTTTTTGAAGTCTAGTATTGGTAAACAGGATCTGCTCTAGACGACAAATATTGGAAATATAATTCACACCACCCTGCACTCACAATATATGTGATGTGTAGCAGCAAATGGCAATACAATACGTTTTAATGCAGACATCAATATATGGTAGCACCGGGTAATGAAACCCCAGAAATCTGGCATGCAGCTTTGAATCTCTAACTCGTTCCAAAAGATGTATTATGTATTACATGAACACAATTCCATATCTTTATAGCTGGCATCTTCAGAAGTGGCACAGGTTGATTGTTTATCATAAAAGGGAGTACCAGAAATGTAGTCATTCTTTCTATTCACCTGAATAGCTTCCAAGCCTCGGAGCATTATTATCAGCACCATCATAAAAATCCAAAGAGTCCCAGTTATGCTCAGTTGCAAAACTTATAACCTGTACCTATGAAGAAGAAAAAGTTAATGGCAAAATTATGAGAGAATTCCAAATTCTACAATTTCCCCAGATTCACAACTATCATAAAAAATATATTTTGAGCGGCTATACTTTTTGCAAGTTGTGAAGGCTTGCAATGAAAACTGGGTTCAACTAGGCATGCAAGGAGAGTACCTCGTATAACATCTAATACTGTCCTCAGTTATCTCAATTTCTTCTGACATTGTAACATCCACCTGTTCTACAAAGTACTGGTATTTGTGCTTGCTGACAGAAGTTAGCAATGCTTACCTAATAATGGTGGACACCCAAAAAGTTTTGCCCTGCGTGAAAGAAGAGCTAGATGTATGGTAACAATGAGATTTTCAACCACATGTTCACTGCCAATAAATAAAGTTGGGACACATGTATGGGTGAATTAGTGGGAAGAAGGGGTGCTTCAGTCATCCCTTGTTCAGATATTTTGCCATATCAACCACTGTCCATGGACACTTTCACCACTAGACTAGATGACATGTCTGGAACCACCAGGAAAAGAAGAGTGAAAAAAAAGGCAGTGAGGAAGGTTAAACCATCCTCCTTTTGCTCTCCAAATGCTTTGCTATTACCAATTTGCACATCAATGGCAAACATGATTTGGAATCCTCTCTTCCTTGCTGAATATCTGCTTCTACCCGGAGTAATGAAATTGGGCCAAGTCTCAGTAGGTAATAAACATAAAATAATAGAAACAACTTCAAATAATGGTTACACACACCCCTGGACTCTATATGCTTTTTCTGTATAATTTTTGCATACAATTAGCCGGGCTTTTAAAAATGAAACAAAATGCAACAATGCACAAGCAACCAGGACATATGTGGTCATTCAATGCTTGAGGTGGTTCAACATGGGCAAACCTCAAGTGAGCCTACACTACCAAATTATGTGTAGAAATCCATTTTGAAAAGATTCCTCCTCCATTCTTACAACTAACAGACACCATAAAGGCCAACAAAGTTCTCTAAACTATGCTTATTTCTATATCCTGAGTTCTGGAATAAGGGGGCGGGGGATAGTGTTTCCAGTTAATTGGGTATTTTTCACTGTTAACTGGAAAAAAAATGTTAGCTTTCTGAAAATAGAGTGGGTGGGAGGGTTTGTCAGGTCTTCATATAACTTAATTACATAGAGATTCTGCTGTGTGAAATATACTGCATAAAGGAGCTGAGGATGGTCACCTCCAATTCTAAATATGAAACAGCCTTATGATGAATCATACTATTGGCTCATCTGATCTGGTACTATAATGGCGGCAGCTCTCTAGCCAGGGTACTTCACAGTCCTGATACCTGACACTTTTTTCTTTCTTTTTTTCAGAGATAGAAGAGATCAAAACTGGGACCTTCTTACACTCTTGTGCAAATTAATTGAAACAAACAATGTAGTTTATTGTACAAAACTCACATATACGTACATTAGTAACGGATATGACCTCCACTATTTTTAAGCAGAATTTGAACATGGTTTGGCATGGAGTCTACTAGTTTCAAACAGTCACTGTTGATTTTCGGATCCCTGTACCTCACTTGAATCAGTGCCTGAATGATCTTCTCCAGTCTACAGCACGGAGGCAACTTTTGCATATAGCCCACAAATTCTCAGTGGGATTTGCCTCCGGGGAATTCCCCGGCCGATGAAGTACCTGTATTTGCTACTCTGTCATGAATTTCTTCAGCACTTTCAATGTGTGACAGGGGGCTAGGTCCTGCTGCAATATCCCAGTACTGTCAGAATACCTCTTTCCCAGCTCTGGAATAACTATCTTTCGTAGAACCTCAATATATCGTGGCGAGCGCATCATTCCTTCTATTGGCTGCAGGCTTCTGACAGCGTAATGATCAACTGACTTTTCATGTTTGTTTTGAGTACAGGATTACGAGTAAGATAGAAAACATGCTTTGTTTCAATTAATTTGCACAAGGGTGTAGGGTCACACGGTGAAAAAGAGGTCAGAACTCCTGCGGCCCTTACAGTATTTGTAGAAGAGGTAATTTTACCACTTGTAGCTAGTAAACGAATGGAAGAGTTCAAAAGTGCTCCTCTGACCTCACCTCCATGCTGCCAGTTAGAGCCTGGCAGGGTTTTGGATCATGCAGCTAAAATGTCATTAGTTCCAGCACCTTAAATTACCTTTCATATATTATAGTTATAAAAACTGTTAAAATTGTTAAAATTTTAATCTTGATATACTAAAAGTAATATTTCTCAACAGGAATGTCTCTCACAGTAAATTATTCCAGGAGAAAGGTTTATATCTATTGTGACAGTTGTTAATTGCCTGGTTTGGTTTGAACTCTTCATGCCCTCAGTTCTTCCAGAGGTGAGAGCCTATACTGATATCAGAAGAAAATTCTATGTGTTCTTACTTGAATTCCAGCTCCTTCAGGTACTGTGATCTTCCAAATACAATTCAGATTGTTGTCATAAGGCTCAGGATAGCCAGGGGACAAAATGGTCCCTTTGCGCTTAGTTAAAATTCCTCCACAGGGCACTGGAAACAAAGGCATAAAATGTGGGAAGAGGTTCCCCTGTATTTCATTCATCACAGCAGGGATAGGTTGTAACAAAACCTTACAGAATTACAAACATGATTGATCTGAACAGTTTTACAATATGATCCTATAGTTCAAGATGGCCTCAGGAAAAGAAAACACAGCATTACACCCACCCATCCTGATATTGTAAGACTCTTAAACTGTTCTAACACATCTGATATATACACACAATGGCTGAATCTGGCATTTACACTCAACAGGTATCATCCACTTCTGCTAAATAATACATTCTGTATTCATTCAGGTTCTATATGTGGAATCAATGAGAGTATGATTAAGGAATGGTAAAATGTACTGTCTATTGCAAGGCAAGGCTCTCTCCAGAGTTAACAATGCAAACTTAACCACATCTACTCAGAAATTAGTCTGACTCAATGCAACAGGGCTTACTCACAGGGTTAGGGTTGCAGTGGACACTCTTGGAATAGGGGACACCCCCAAGGATCTGATACTGCTTGCTAAGGAGAGGTAAGTATGTTTGAAAGATCAGCTGTTCGTTACAGTCACCCTGCTACTTAGAAGGTGTAATGAATCCTTGAGACAACTCTCTGCCTTGGGAGAGTGTAGTCTACGGCCCTATAAAAGTTCAGTCTAAAGGATGAAGGAGCAGAAACACCAAGGGGAGCAGACTTGAAGAAGGGCTTGTCTCTTCCCCAAGCTGCCTCGCCATTTGCAACACCTAGTTGAGAGAAGCTAATCATTATCTGAGAAGAAATGAATCAATCAGTCCATATTTTATTTATTTACATAATCTATATGCCACATTGTCATTATAAATTTATGTTCTCAGGTTGTCTAAGCAGACATGTAGGGAAAAAAGAAGTACAACTTTTATTGATCCACTAAAAAGCTGGTAATTGTGAGAAATAAGAACGGATGAACAAATAATGTTATTGCTGATTTTATTTTCTTTGTAAATAAAACCCATGACCCAGAAATCCTAGTGAATCATTAGTGTACTCCTCCAAGTCAACAACAACAACAACAACAACAACAACAACAACAATAATAATAATAATAATAATAATAATAATAATCGGGCATAGGCAAACTGAGCCCTCCAGATGTTTTGGGACTACAATTCCCATCATCCCTGACTATTGGTCCTGCCAGCTAGGGATCATGGGAGTTGTACACTAAAAACATCTGGAGGGCTGAGTTTGCTTATATAATAATAATAATATTGCAATAATAATAATAATAATAATAATAATAATAATAATAATAATGATGTATGGCCATTTTTCAGGGATTCTTTAGCTGTAATTCCTGTGTTTGGGGGGGAGGTTGGACTAGATGATCCTTAGAATTCTATGAAAGCATATTACAAAATTACAAAACCTGGAACCATTGTTTCCCCATCTGAGAGCTCCAAGTCCTAGCATCCTTTAATAAGCTGCTTTTCGCAGGATTATTTGGGGAGTGAAGTTCATTAGATATGCTTTAAAAGCACAGTGTGGATCTGCCCTCACTTAATATAGTTTAATATACAGACTTACAGCAAAGCCCTAAGCATGTCTACTTAGGCCTGCTGAGTTCAATGTGACTTAGACCCAGTTTTGCTTGTACAGTGGTACCTCGGGTTAAGTAATTAATTCGTTCCGGAGGTCCGTACTTAACCTGAAACTGTTCTTAACCTGAAGCACCACTTTAGCTAATGGGGCCTCCCGCTGCCGCCGCGCCGCTGGAGCACGATTTCTGTTCTCATCCTGAAGCAAAGTTCTTAACCTGAAGCACTACTTCTGGGTTAGCGGAGTCTGTAACCTGAAGCATATGTAACCCGAGGTACCACTGTATAGGTTCACAGCCTTAATATGATCTACACCATGGAATACAGAATAGCCCTCTGATTAGCTAGGGCATTTTATTTTAACAGATTAGGCCTGGGAAATTTTGGCCTTTCTTGTTCAGCTTTGAACCCATTTATGATGCAGGTTTCAGTCTGAGAATTCAGTCTGAGATTAAAAGGCAGTGGGGCCTGGATCTAGGTCAAAAGGGGCTTCTTAGAGATGTAATGAGCCCTCAGGGCTTAAATAAAATATAGCCTATTTTTTTCTGTCGCAAAGCAGCTCCATTTTTTTAAAAAGCCGACTTTGCTGGAGTCCAGTGTACTTTTGTCAAAACAGTAAAGCCCACATTTGTGCAACACACAAAATAAATAATGACAATAATAACAGACATAAACAGAAAGAACTCATAAGGGCACCACACTGATATTTGATGCTAAACATGAATGATACTTGCGGTCAAGAAACTAGACATTCTAATATAACCACATTAGACTGTCATCTAAATACAGATATTCTGCTGGTATTATAATGGCTTGGAGAAATGATTGATGAGAAGTTTTATCAGTACCATTAGCAGCCCATGCATCACTCCTGTGGAACAACATTATCAAGTCCTTGAGCTCATTTCATTAGATACAAAAATGAGGACTTGAAGAATATGTAGAAGAAGGAAACTTATCTGAGTAATGAATGTAGGAGCTACATTTTGTAGTGCATATAACTGATAGAATCTGTCAGGGACTACATGAATAAACTAAAGGTCAGTGTCACTTAAACAGTTTAAATAATTACTGGTAAAAGCAGGAGCAGACAGAATGACTGATAGCTGATATCTGTAAGGAAACATTGAGGCAGTTGCTACAGAGCTACGGCAATTTAAAATGGTCATGGCTAGCATTTCAATTATTAACCTGATTTTCTTCAGAGCAGTTTTAAGCTCATGCATATTTATGACCTAGATTAGAAGAGTGATGTGCACTAATGAAGAGCAACTACCTTCCTTGGGTCAAATTAACTTTTGTAATTTATTTTATTTATTCAATTTATAAGCCATCCTATAACAATCATTCTGTGGGCAGCATGCAAGTAAAATTGGCTCCAAGATGAAAATCACATTGTCATTTTTAAAAATTCTGCAAAAACACAAACAAGACAAACGTCTTTAAAATAGAGACCAAGATATTAAACAGCACAGCCCTAAAGAATTAAAGCAAGGGAAAGAAATGCAAAAACAAAACAAAACAAACACCATAGGGCTAAAAATAATATCAGGGCACTGCATAATAAAGCTGATGCAGATGTTTTGGACTACAACTCCCATTAGACCCATCAAGCAAGTTGGCTGAGGCTGATGGGAGTTGTGGTCCAAAACATTTGGAGCGACCAAGTTGGTAAAGAGTAGCCTAGAACATCTGGAAAAATGAAATGGTGTTTGATGCTGAAAAGACATGTAAGTATTTAAATGACCTGGTGGCCCTCCTTGGGGATGGTCTTCCACAACAGAGATGCTACTGCTGGAAAGTCTCTTTCTTTTGTAGCCAGCCATTGTGTTTAATTTGATTAAGGCACCTGAAGAGTACCTCTCAGCCAATAATATCAACACATGAGTAGGTACGGATACCAAGGTCTTATAGGATGGGTTTAAATTTTAAAAATACTAAAACCAGCCTTTGATATCATAAAAACCCTTATATAAAGACCCTCCCTCCTCCCTATTGATTATCTGGTTATTTTTTAAATAAATAAATAAATAAATCAGCTAAGAAGAATTGTCATCATTCAGAAACAAAGCAAACTTTCAAATGTTGCATACTCATAAAAAAAGAAGAGTGTAAACAGGTCAAAGCAGCTTAAGACGGAATACAAGATACCGAGAAACTATGAGCAATGGTACAGGAATGTAGAACGAATTCGGTCTCCTAGTCTTAGAAGTGATGATGGAATGAACACAGTAGCAGGGTTCGGCAGTCAATATCTTAGGTATGGAGTCTCTGAAGCAGAGTTCTGAGTATACTGGGAGCTGCAGGATCAAATGGAAGTCCTGCTGTGTGCAGAGAAGCCCACTTCCCTTGTGCATTGACACCATTAGATGTAACCCAGCAAAATCTTGGAAAATGTAAGTGCCATAGACAGGAATAATAGAGCAAAAGGGTAAACAAGTGTGTGGGCTGAACGCACTATTTAGAGGAATTGCAACGTTTCCCTGGAAATGTGTAAAAATGAGGTCACATTTTCAGAATCCTGTGAGTTTAGTGATTATGTGTAAACGGTATTTTCTAACATAAGGGAGAAAAATATTAACAGCTACAGAAAAGAAAGGATGGGATTCCTGATTCTCTTTAGTGCTAACTTTGTATAATTCTACATATAACAGAAGGCCAGTAAGGCATGGATGCTGGCAAAAGTACAGGAACAAATGTGTCAGTATTTGATACAATACTTCATTAGACAGTAACTAGACCTTTACAAAAATACAACTTTTAACTACTCACCAACACATGTAGGAAGGGAATCATTCCACTGTGCCAATGCATTGGGCACTGTGTCACATCTAATTGCTATTGATCCATAGAGTATGTAACCTGGATTACACTCAAAAAGAACCAATGAACCAACCGCAAACTCATTTCCAATTCTTTTCCCAAATCGTGGCTCCGGCACCGAACTGCATTGGGTTGCACTTGTTCTTGGAACCGCTAGAAACCCACAAGAAATGGCATGTACTGATTCATAGTGCAAAAATATTTTTTTAGCCTGCGCAAACATTTAAAATACATTTAAAATTAGGGTTTTTTTAAAAAATCACTTTGATGCAGTTCCTGATTGAGTGTATATATCTATTTTATCTTATATAACAAGGCCTATACTTATAAACGTTAAGTAAAACAACAGTTCTGATTAGATAAAAGAGCTGTCCCTACCAGCCCTTTGAAAAATCATGCTGGGGTTGTTTATCCAACATTAGTTGGATAAAAAACAAACAAACTGTGATGCATTATTGAACTAATATATGAAGTTCATATTGTTGTGATGGATAGATATTTAAATGTATTGGCTATGGTTTTATGAATATATGATCTGTTTGTCAGATCAGTATTCACATTTTATAAAAGACTGAATTACAGTAGCAAATGTTGACATGCAGTCATTTTAAGTGCCTGAACCATAACATGGTAAATAAAGTAAATGAAGTGAAATGACTTAATAATTACTAGCAAAATTATTGATTTAGCTCAGGGTAATACACTGTCTAAATCCACAATGATACTGAAATATGTATTTGAGTGGCAGGCAAGGTTGAATATAAATAGATCAGATAATAAGCAAAATGGAAAAAGGGAGTCTCCCGGTCTCACTTCAAGTTTGCAAACCCTTCATAGCTTTTCTACAAATTTAAGTTTCATGAATGGTTATTCTTCTTAAACATGCTAATAATAACCACAGGGATTCAAAATACATAAGGAAATATGATATCCAGTGCCTTTTTCCTTAAAAATTTTTTATGGGTACTCTCATTTTGACTCAAGAAAACCACCATTTTATAGCTCAAATTGGGAAAAATAAATACAGTGAATGGACAAAAGTACAAAGATTCACAAAATGTTTAGGGGTATGCGTACCACTGCACTGGATATATCAACCAGATAGTATTTTCCCTATCAATATTTTAAACTTCTTAATCTCTGTTGTGTTGGATACAGTTTCAGACTGACTGGAGTTGGGGTTTTTAAAATGTGTGTGTGTTTTAAAGAAAGGTCTTAGAAATGAAAGGAAATGTGTAAGATTAGCACAAAGGTTTAAGTGAAGCATATTTGAAGCACTCATGTTTCATACCTTGATAAACAAAGTGAAATCCTTTAGCTGTTATGGGTCCAACTGAAGTAAATCGGATGGTAATCTGGTTCCCTGAGCTCAAGGGAAGGGATTCTCCTATTCAAGACAACAAGCATTGTATCTCAGAAACACGCTGGTGGGGGTTTTTTTTGCCAATAATCCTAAAATACTGTTTGCATTACATCTGGCAAACATGTTATTTTAAATCCTAATCTCAGTGTTAGGGTCCTTTTGGGTCTAACTTGATATTCTGTCAGGTTCATATTGATTGACCTAGACATAAAGTATCACAGTTGATTAGTTACATTTCATAAGTTATTACCTTTTACAAGTGGTGTTTCGGAGAGGGGATATTTTGCTAACACAGGCTATTCCTCTATTAATCTTTTTAGCAAAGATATCAGTGGCTTAAGCATGTATATCCAAGATTTTTTCACTTCTGAGGAATGATTACATGTGGCTTGAATCATACAGAAACACCTCCTTTCAACTGATCTCATTGTAATTTACTTGTAGAAGAAAATGTTTTGGAATTTTAACCCACCCACATTAAGAAGAAAAAAATCAGTATCAACCATCTATCCACCAGAATATCTGGCACAAATCTTTACTCAACAAGCAAGGAATGCATGGTTGTTCTATGATGATATACCTGAATGAG